AAACACCTGCAATGTATCTCTATTGGTCGGAATCTTCTGCAAAACAAAGTGTGCTTTCACCGGTCCCACGAGGAACACATTCAAGTTAGAACGCAACACCTTTTCTGTACTCATGATGCGGTTTTGTACGTGATTGACATATTGAAAACAAATACATTGGCTTGGCTTACTAGGGATAATTTCCTCATACCAGTGTTGGCAGATAAACTAATAAATCATGAGTGGAAAAGTTATGTCTTTAAGTTTTATTGAATAACATTTTTTCTATAAGTCCTACAAAATTTCGGTCCACCACAAAGTTGTAGCTGACAATTTTCTATAAGTGCAAATAACAAATATGTCCTCAAACCGCCATGCAGGATGTTTAGAATGATACCACCGAAAAACTTGATTTTCCCATAGTAATTCCCATATGAATTTCAAAAGGTTTGTGCGAAGTCAGGTTGTAACCAAATGGGCTCAAATTTTGGCAAGATGATTAGGACCCAATATGGGATCGTTTTAGACTTGTGGAGCAAAAACTTCAAAATTTGCATCAGTCTAATGCTCATCAATATACAAACATTTAAGGAGCGCCGTCAATTTACAATGCTTTTCTTTATCAACGACATTATTTCAATGCGCATAGATTCGGCAGAACAGTTAAACTTTTACACACCTTGTCGATATCTTAGAACACGGAATTTATTTTCTGAAAAATCGTACAGAAAAAATTCTGCAAAAAATAGCCCAATCAATGGAATGATGCGCCTATATAATTTGCATTGCGGAACTATTGACATCACTATGTCCAAGCAGCAAATAAAAACTAAGCTAAAACAGAAAGAATTAATGCATAGTATGTAAGTAAACATTGTAATAATCATTATATGTAGTCTATGTGGACACTGGCTTGACGAAATGAAATAAATAAAGTTATATTTTTTTTGTTAAACTTTATTATTGAGATTTTTAGCCAGTTGGCTAGATCATCTCATAATCATCAGTAATGGAGCAGTGGAGCGTTAATCTTCAATTCCCAAGATTGATCCGTTTTCCTCAATAGAATGGTAACGGAGATTTCAAAAATATTCAAAAGTTTTCTACGGAACCCATAGGCGTAGCCATGGTAGCCCCCTTAACTCAGTACCCTTTTTTAAGATAATCATAATGAATTTTATTTTTATGGTTGCGTTGCAGAAACATAATGTTTCTCAACCGAAAAGTGACCGATTTTGCTTACTGGTTTGAAAATCATGGGTTCAATCTCAAGCTTATAAAGTTGTACTTTAAATCGGGCTTCTTTAATAATATGATATAAAGCGTAATTAAATTCGGTTGGAGGGACGTAATATTTGACTTTTAGAAAAGATCGGAAATCTATTTCAAATACTTCTCAAGAGCAGTTGTTGTTGTCGTCGGTGAGGTCGCCATCAGGATCGAAACCTGAACGGTAGCTTGATCGTAATTGTGTTGTGATTAAAGGAGGTCGGTGGTCTACACGGAAATGAAAAACTACCCAAAATAAAGTACTTTTCCCTCAATTCCCGGGTTCAGGCCCAAAATATGAGTAAATCGCATATAGTAGTTTCCATTTAACATCAGCAAAAAAAATACTCTACCCAAAATTAAGTTTAATTCACGTAAATTTGAGAATATGCCATTTACTCAAAAGTAACTGATTGGGCTGAACTATATCCTTGGGTCGAATCTCTCGTTCCTTTTTTAACAACATTAACGAGTGCACGTGAGAGGCTCAACTCAAAATGAAGTATAAAAGAACTCACATTTTGGGTAGTATTTTTTCTCCGTGTAGTGGCGACCGATTTTGCTTACACTGAGCAGAATACCGTGGATTCAAACAAAAGCTCTTTCGCAATATTGAATCGTTAGGACAGGACAAAACGAATCCTGCTGCAATCCCAACCCTTTTCTACCATCCCAGTGATTTCTCGTGGAAGTGCAGAGGTGTTCTTGGCATTCATTAAAGCAAATACACGTCAACATATTCCATCACCAGAATTCACCAGAATTTACATATTAGGGTGGGACAAAAATCAAATTCCAGTTCCAGTATAATTTCCGGGGGCTTTTTAGGTCCTAAAATAACTGTGTAAAATTTCAGGTCGGTCGGTGTAACTATATTTTAGCGCCAGTGGTTTTAATTTTCATAGGATTGTCTATGGGAAAACTTACTTTTTCAAATAAAAATCTGTCGAGGTCACCCATTACCCACCTTGGAAATTTGACAAACCGACGATCCAACGCTTGTGGAAAAAGCCAGCTGCCGCCTGCTGCTGTCTGCGCGAGACAGTCACGTTGTGTATGGAGGTTCACTCAGCATGGAGGAAAGCCGATATCATGCTGAAAGAATCTTCGAATTGGATGAAACTTTGCACAGGGTCATTTGAAAACAAGCGTAATTTTTCACAAGAGCGTATTTGTTATGGCACACAATTCATTCAAATAATCCTACTTGGAAAAACTTCGAGTGTGGAGCAAAACCGTCTAGGAAAAAAAAAATGGCAGTACACGCAGAACAAAACAATCGTCGAAACAGAAATATTTGAGGTAAATTTATACGTAAACTCAGTTTGTTCTGGCCACAACAATAAATTAGGTTGATTTCAAACGTATGTCATGTTTGAAGTCATGTGAAATCAATGTTTAAAATAAAAATAACGTTAATTAATTAAATTACGTTTATTTTAAAAATATTTGTGCTCAAAATAAACGCATTTGTTTTGACGTAGAACTACGTCTTTGATTTCTATATGGGGGTACACTTTGTGAAAACCGAAAATGGAACATGTAACAAATTTAGAAAGATTTTGAACGTTAATAACGCAGCTGCCCCTAGTCCAATTTCAATATTTTTATCACTAATCGATCAGAAATATGGCTACGCATCGATAACAATACTTCCGAATGTTTATTTTCAATAAGAAACTATTGAAAACTGGTAAATGTGCAGCATTGTCCAAACCGGTCGAATTAACGAACAAATCCACCAATTACCTACATGCATATGCTGCTACAAGTCGAAGTGGCATTCGCCTCCGAATCTCGGGCGCGTGCGAATAGGGAGGATGGAATTGCGTAATATTTTGCACACTCATCGCCATAGTCAGAACCACACGCTCCCAACGACCACACCACTGTGTGGTGGTGTTCGGTCGTCGAAATTAGTAGCAGCAGTAGCAGTACTTTCGGCGTGTGGCGTTGAAAATTGTTCTCCAGTAACAACGAAAGGCTGCCTGCAAGCAGCGAGCTGCAGAACCCTAATAAGCAACCATCAAAGGAGGAATAAGCTGCACCGCTATGCTATGGATCGGAATCAGTAGCTCTTCGTGAGTCGCTGCGGGTCGGTCATCTATGCCAAGCGTACCACCATCGCTCCAAACGACACACAGCTCGACAGCCTCATCCGTGTTGAACACCCAGCTCAGAATTACCCAACCATCACTACAAAACGGTCCTTTTCAGGGCCACCAAAAATGTGTTAAAGAGTATTATTTGGACGTTGGTCAAGGTCATCAGTTCCCGCAAGCAGCTAGCTATCAAGGCGCAACCTGTCTATAGAAGGTGTGGAATTGTAGGCCTGAATATATTGGTGCAATTAGTTTTTCCTCGGCTTTCATTCCGCACGATTCGTTTATTTCGTTTAATCAATCCCCCTTGTAGTGAAGTCGAAAAGATTGTTTCAATCGGCGCTTACATATATGTATATATAGCATTTTTTGTATGTTACTAAAATTTATGAATGGTTTGTCACTAAATGTTGAGATAATTTATTGATTATTGAATTATCACACTGTATACCATGAAAAAGCAGCCTGTTTTTGAGTTTTTGCCTGTTTTCAAGTAAGGAGTTATCATAAAAAAACAAATCACCAGCTGGTATTTCCCGGTGACGGAATCAGTAGCTCGTCGTGCTCAGCTCAGCATTACTCAGCCATCACTACAAAACGGTCCTTTTCAGGACCACCAGAAATTTGTTAAGACAAGAACAACATGTGAAAGGGGCATACACGCTTTTTGTAAACAAACCTTCTTATGCCCTTTTCTCTTAGAGCATTATTTGGACATTTGTCAAGGTCATTAAGATAATTGATGATTGATCAATTAAAAGAACTAAATGTTCACATTCGTTCCGTCCACTAGCGGTCCTACGTCAAGCTTCCGTTCGTGCCCGTAGGCACAGACCCTTCTACTTTTTGTTTGGTTTGACAGCTAGGCGAACAAAAATAAATATGTTTATTTTAAACATGCATCTCATATTTAAAATAAACATACATATTTTGATATTATTTTAGAAGTTGAGTGCATCACGGGAAAAAAAAGAGTTCCCATATTCGTGAACCACAGCTGTTACGCAATATGCGAACGCGCCTCCGCTGTCAGCAGAACCCCATCGGAACACACCGCCACTGGTACGATTCGGTGGAATGGAGAGCCGTCAAAAGGCGAAGAATATACAACACCAGCAGAAGTAAACATAGTTACGCGTGCTTACACTTCTTTATATTTATGCAGTTAAAAACTAATCTAAAAGCTAGTCGGAGCTTAAATTGTGAATTAAATTAGTTAGTTAGCTGGTTAGCATAAGTGATTTAGTGATTTATCAAGGTAAATGAATTTAAAAAGATATTTATTGCTGTTTATTAGTTCGTTCAAAATTTAACCTGAAACTTACACTATGGCACAGATTTTGCCGTATTACTTAAAACCATTACTTGGAGGTCAAAGGTCAGGGCAGAATCGTTAGTTTAAGGATCCCTAAACAACTACTACCGTACAAGACAGTTTTCCGGACGTTGCGGAATTAAAAGGAAAACACTAAACGTAAGTCACAGAACACATCTAACAGTAGTAGTAGTTATGCTTAAAACTGATGAAAATTTAACCTACAGGGAAAATTTAACAACTGTTAATAAAGTTCGTTAAGTTTACGGAAATTTGTTTACCGCCTCTTGTTGTCGCTTACGGGAACAAATTAAATTTTCCGTTTAATTTCCGGAATGTCGAACGGTAGCGTAGCGAGTGCTGGGAAGTCTCCCAAGAGAAAAAGTAATGCTCCTGGTGGTGAGGGGGCGAGCTGCGGTAAGTGTCATGAAGTCGATACCAGTCGGATGGTGCAATGCGATGAGTGCGACGTCTGGTATCATTATGATTGCGTGAACGTGGACGACAGTATCCAGCATGATGATTGGAGCTGTAACGCATGCGTACGGAGATCATTGGATAAGCAGAGACATGCTTTGAGTGAGAAGTTGGAGCGCTTTGAACAGCAACAGAAGCAGTGGCAACAAGAGCAACAAAAACGCCTACAGCAGACTGACGAACAACAAAAGCATATTGAGCAGCGGCAGAAACCAGAAGAGTGGCAGCTGCGAATGCAGGAGCAGTTCGATCAGTTGCAGAAGGGGATGTTGCAGTTGCAGCAGCAGAGTTCGCTGTCGGGAGATGCTGCAACGAGACTTGAAGTACCTTCGAGATTGCTTGGTGCGATTCCGAAGCAGTTACAGCATCAGGTCAAATTTGTGGAGAAGGTTGTTCCAAAAGGGTTCATAGCGGATGAACAGTGCAACACAGAACCGCCGGCAAGCTCGAGCGGCAATAATGAGAGAACATCCGACAGTAGTGACAAGGCATCTTCGAAGTTATCAAGACGCTCAGCGAAATTACGGGAACTGCAAGTGAAGGCCCTGGAAGCGAGACAAGCGTTGGAAATAAGGCAGCTAGAAGAGCGACTGGCGTTTGAGTATGAGATGTTGGAGGTCACTGATTCCGAGGTAGAGTCGATTACGAGTTTTGACAAGATCAACGAGTGGCTGGAGAAAACGGACAACGTAGGGAAGGGTGTAGGAAATTCTATAAATGGAACACCTCTGCCGGTGTATGACGAATCTCTGCGAAAACCGGTGGTGTCTTCAACCCAACCGTGCCTCACTAGCAGCTGCGGCCCAGTTCCACCATCTAGTCTTCAGCAACCTGTGGGGAATCCTACTTCGTTTCAGCCACGCGTCTTTGAGCATTTTGGTGGAAGTTACGGTCATGGTGGCAGGTACATCGAGCAGCCTCGACCTGGCGAAAACTTTCCAAGAGCAACAGCGAGTCATCATCCAACATTTGGCGGATATTCAGCACCAGTATCCAGTCAACCGTCGGCCCCAGTCTACACTATACCGTCACAGCAGCCGGTAATGACGACAGCTAATCCGGCAATGAGCTATCCGTACCTAGGCGCTCAGAACTTCCAGAATATAGCGGGCATGTCTCAAAACATTGGACAACCACCGATGGTAACGTCAACCCCGCGGCAACAGTATCAGCAACAACCATGTAGTGATCCTGTACTGCTAAACAGAGACCATTTAGCAGCAAGACAGACGGTAAAAGATCTGCCGAAGTTCGGTGGAGATCCAGAAGATTGGCCACGTTTCATCGCGGCGTACGAGCGAACTGTCAGGATGTGTGCCTTTAGGAACGATGAGTTACTCGATCGTCTCGAAAGGAGCCTGCACGATAAGGCACTCAATGCTGTTAAAAGCCTCCTCCTACATCCCGATAACGTTCCAGTCATAATCAATCGGCTGAAAATACTGTTCGGCAACCCGGAGTCTATCGTTGAGACAATGGTTCGGAGAATTCGGACGATGCCGCCTCCGAAGGCTGATAAACTGGAAACTATTGTTGACTTCGGCGTGGCAGTTCAGAATTTGTGTGCAACTATACAAGTGTGCGAAATGGACGAACGGTTGTACAATGTCGCTTTGCTGCAGGAGCTTGTAGATAATTTACCGTCAGCGTTGAAAATGAAATGGGCATTTCACCGTAAGGAGAAGGGCGCTGCCACACTGGTTGATTTCAACGATTGGCTCGGAGACATGGTGGAGGCGTTCAGTCAGGTGATCAGACCGGCTGTGTGGACTAAATCACAGAAGTTGGAGAACAAGCCGGAGAGGAAAGGTCGGAAAGAAGAAGCGTATATACATGTGCATTCTACGCACTCACCGGAGCAGGTGGACCGCAAAGCTTGCCTAGCGTGCAGAAATGAGTGCAGTTCCCTCGACAAGTGCAGTAGTTTTCTCAAGATGACACCGAATGCACGATGGGCGTTGGTAAATGAGAAGAAGATCTGTCGGAAATGTCTAACTAAGCACTTTAAAACTTGTGAGAGGAAGGTTCCATGCAATCGGAACGGGTGCAGCTTCCTACATCACCAGCTATTGCATGATGACAGTAAACACAAGAAACAGACGTCAATCATTCCAGCACAGATCGCATCTTGTAACACGCATCATAGTTCGCTGGGAGGAGTTCTGTTGAAGTACATTCGTGTCACGGTGCATGGCAAGGGTAAATCGATCACGACGTACGCATTCCTCGACGCAGGATCGACCTCGACGTTAATGGAGCACAGCTTGTGGGAGGAATTGAATCTGAACGGTGAGAAATCTCCATTGTGCATGTCATGGACTGGCGGACAAAGAAGATACGAAGAAGACTCGGTGAAATTCTCCGCCGAGATCGCAGGTGCTCAGACTCCCGGCCAAAGTTTCCAGCTTTCGGAAGTGCACACGGTGCGAAACCTAGACCTTCCTCCACAGTCAATGTCGGTGAAGGATCTAGCGAAACATTTCCAGCATCTGTCGGGCCTGCCAATCGAATCGTACGTCGCAGTCAAACCACGCATTTTGTTGGGTGTCGACAACGCTAGGTTGGAGTATCCGTTCGATTCCAGAGAAGGGAGTGAGAATCAGCCGACCGCGGTACTAACACGGCTAGGGTGGTTGGTATACGGTCCGTGCTCGGTGTCAGAGCAAACGATGGCGAAAAAAGACGTGACCTACAGTTACCATATCTGTCAGTGTGATGGGCTTCATTCTGCAGTCAAAAATTACTTTTCTCTGGACAGCCTCGGGGTTCAACTTGCTGGGAAACCGCTGATGTCGAAGGACGACGAACGAGCGATGATGTTGCTGCAGACAAACACGATTCTCCAGAATAAGAGATACGAGACTGGCCTACTGTGGCGTTATGAAGAAGTCCGGCTACCGGAGAGCAAAGGCATGGCCCTGAAGCGACATGACTGTTTGAGTAAACGCATGGTTCGAGAACCTGCGCTATGTAAAGCTCTTCAGGAAAAAATACTGGATTACCGAACGAAAGGATATATCCGCAAGCTTTCGGCGCAGGAAGAAGCAACGTACACTGGACGCTCGTGGTATCTGCCGATCTTTCCAGTGGTTAACCCCAACAAACCCGGCAAGCTCCGTATTGTCTGGGATGCCGCCGCCAAAGTGGGTAACCTCTCGTTGAATTCATTTCTGCTAAAAGGTCCTGACCAAGTCACGCCCCTTCCACATGTCCTTCAGCGGTTTCGTGAATATCGTACGGCTGTGTCAGGGGATGTTCGTGAAATGTTTCATCAAGTGCGGATGAGACCCAAAGACCAGCATTGCCAGCGATTCCTGTGGGATGATGACGTTCCCGGAGAAGGTCCTTCGACTTACGTGATGGAGGTGATGACATTCGGTGCCAGCTGTTCACCTAGTAGTGCACAGTACGTTATGAAGCGAAATGCAGAACGATTCAGGACTCTATTTCCGGAAGCGGTGGAGGCAATATGCAAAGGAACGTATGTGGACGATATGCTCAGCAGTGTCGAATCTGAAGCAGAGGCGGTAAAGCTCGCGCAAAATGTGCGATACATACATGCAGAAGGTGGGTTCGAAATCCGAGGATGGCTGTCAAACTCCAAGAAAGTAGTAGATTCCATGGGCGAGCAGAGAGCTCCTGAAAAGGATCTAAACAAGACCGGAGAGTTGGTGACCGAGAAAGTTCTAGGGATGTGGTGGAATACGATCAACGACACGTTAACGTTCAAAATCCCGAACCGATGCAGACAGGAGCTGTTATCCGGAGAGCAAGTTCCCACGAAGCGGGAAGTTCTGCGGATTCTCATGTCAGTCTACGACCCGCTAGGACTTCTTGCCAACGTATTGATGTACCTGAAGGTTTTGCTGCAAGAGATCTGGCGCTCTAATATTGGTTGGGACGAGCCGATACCCGACCAGCAGCTGGAAAAGTGGAGAACATGGCTCAGTGTATTGAACAAGGTGAATACAGTTTCCGTTCCTCGGTGCTATCGCACGATGACAACTTCGTCCAGTGAGTTCAACGAAATTCAACTACACGTCTTCGTAGACGCGAGCGAGAATGGCTACGCTGCGGTTGCTTACTTCCGTTTCGAAGAGGACAGCACAGTTGAGTGCGCCTTCGTTGAAGCGAAAACTCGGGTCGCTCCTTTAAAATACGTCTCGATACCTCGACTAGAGCTACAAGCAGCGGTGATCGGAACCCGGCTGGCGAAGTCTATAGGAGAAACCCATCGCATTGGAATCCGAAAACGGTTCTTCTGGACCGACTCAAGGGACGTGCTCTGCTGGTTACGATCCGATCACAGGAGGTACAGCAAATTCGTCGGTGCTAGAGTTGGCGAAATTTTGGAAAGCACTGAACAGGCAGAGTGGCTCTGGGTACCAACAAAGCAGAACGTGGCCGATGATGGCACTAAGTGGCAGCGGACTCCCGACCTATCACCATCAAGCCGTTGGTTCAAGGGACCAGCATTTCTGTGGGAACAGCGGAGCGCTTGGCCTGTTCAGCCGGCAAACCATGGAGAAACCACCTCCGAAATGAAAGTTTCGGTCAACATCCACGTAGCCGGCGAACCCGTTCTTAACTTCGCTAAATACTCCAACTGGCGTAAACTTCTACAGGTCTCCGCGTACGTTCTCAGATTCATGAAAAACCTTCGAGCTAGACTACAGCGTCAACCACCATCTACCGGAATCCTCAATCAATCGGAGCTATTTGAAGCGGAATGTTGCATTTACCGACAAGCCCAGCTAGAAACGTTCGGTGAGGAAGTATCGTCGCTGATCTGTCACAAGGAGGCAAGCGAGAAGAAGGTGATTCCTATTCTTAAAAGTAGTTCACTCTACAAACTTTCGCCGTTCCTTGATGACTACGGAGTACTTCGTATGCAAGGAAGAACTGCTGCCTGTCAATTCATCGATTCAGATGCTGCCCATCCTATCGTGCTGCCAAAGAAGCATCCGGTTACGACACTCGTCGTACAATTTGTCCACCAACGCTATCACCATCTCAACCATGAAAGCATCGTCAACGAACTACGACAAAAGTATCGGATCCCGCAGCTACGAAGTGTGTGCAACAAAGTCCGTCGACAGTGTCAGTTCTGCAAGAACGCCCGAGCTCAACCGCAGCCGCCGATCATGGCTGATCTTCCATCGGCTCGTCTAGCAGCTTATTCCCGACCGTTCTCTTATGTCGGGATCGACTACTTCGGACCAATGCAAGTCGTCGTTGGTAGACGAACTGAAAAGAGGTGGGGCGTGTTGATTACATGCCTAGTGGTACGTGCCATCCACATTGAAATTGCACATTCTCTCAACACTAGCTCCTGCATCATGGCAATACGGAACTTCGTGGCCAGACGAGGCTCTCCTTTGGAATTCTTCAGCGACAGGGGAACGAATTTCGTCAGTGCCAAGCGGGAACTAACCGAAGCGTTCCGGTCTCTCGATCAAAATAAGCTTATGCAGGAATTCGTGACACCAGATACCAAGTGGACCTTCTTGCCTCCGAGCAGTCCGCACATGGGTGGAAGCTGGGAGAGACTGGTGCAGTCAGTGAAAAAGGTTTTGAATAACATGCAGCTTCCAAGATCTCCCACCGACGAAGTCCTTCGGAACAGCTTGCTGGAGGTGGAAAATATTATTAATTCGCGCCCCCTCACATACGTGCCTATCGAAGACGGTGAAAACGAAGCTCTAACTCCCAATCATTTCTTGTTGGGTTCGTCCAATGGTTCGAAACCTCTCGTGCCATACAACGACAGCATCGCTACGCTAACCAACACTTGGAAAACTTCTCAAATCTACGCCAACCACTTTTGGAAAAGATGGTTACGGGAGTACCTGCCGTCAATATGCCGTCGGACAAAATGGCATTATCCGGTGAAACCAATCCAGATCGACGACGTTGTGATAATCGTGGATCCGGATTTACCACGAAACTCGTGGCCAAAAGGACGCGTTGTAGACGTCAAATGTAAGGACGGACAAGTACGAAGCGCAACGGTGAAAACTACACTCAACATATACGAACGACCTGTGGTAAAACTTGCAGTTCTGGACGTCGGCGCAAATTCGAGTAAGCAGGAACCAGGACCCTGCGTACTGGGGGGGAGTGTTACGCAATATGCGAACGCGCCTCCGCTGTCAGCAGAACCCCATCGGAACACACCGCCACTGGTACGATTCGGTGGAATGGAGAGCCGTCAAAAGGCGAAGAATATACAACACCAGCAGAAGTAAACATAGTTACGCGTGCTTACACTTCTTTATATTTATGCAGTTAAAAACTAATCTAAAAGCTAGTCGGAGCTTAAATTGTGAATTAAATTAGTTAGTTAGCTGGTTAGCATAAGTGATTTAGTGATTTATCAAGGTAAATGAATTTAAAAAGATATTTATTGCTGTTTATTAGTTCGTTCAAAATTTAACCTGAAACTTACACTATGGCACAGATTTTGCCGTATTACTTAAAACCATTACTTGGAGGTCAAAGGTCAGGGCAGAATCGTTAGTTTAAGGATCCCTAAACAACTACTACCGTACAAGACAGTTTTCCGGACGTTGCGGAATTAAAAGGAAAACACTAAACGTAAGTCACAGAACACATCTAACAGTAGTAGTAGTTATGCTTAAAACTGATGAAAATTTAACCTACAGGGAAAATTTAACAACTGTTAATAAAGTTCGTTAAGTTTACGGAAATTTGTTTACCGCCTCTTGTTGTCGCTTACGGGAACAACAGCCGTGAACCATAGTTCACGGTGTATATTTGAGAAAATTTTGTTCTGGATAGCTGGCCGTGATTTTTAGTTCACGGTCCGTTCCCGTTTTCGGGAACGGATTTTTTTCCGACAGGGTACAGCAAAATAAAACTTATTGCAATGAAATGAAAAACAAAAAGATCTTTGGGCTAGGCGTACATTCCTGCTCCTTTCCGGGTGCGATTAAGTGTGACCTGTGGGTATTGGGGTAATGGTCCGGGATGCGGGTACCCGTCGGGTGGGTGTCCGGGGGTTTTAGTTCAGTGAACCGGTGGAAAATTGTGATATTAGCGTCGTTTTGTCGTTTCTGCCACTGGTCCTCATACCGGTTTCTTTCTCCGTTCGGTGTCCGAGGAGGATCCGGAATGCATTCAGAATCCATTTAGGATTTGCGTCGTTCTTTCGAAGCCACATGTGGAGGAGGATGATATAGAGATCGGCATCAGAAACGACGGAGTGAAGTTGATACTGTGGGGTTCCACCGGTTTTGTCGAGCTGGTTTCCGGATCCATCTTCGGTTTTGCCACTTCCAGGCCGTTCTCTGTTGAGTTGAGCAAAGCTGGGACGACTTTTTCCGAATGTAGCACGAAGAAAATGAGGCATGACATGCTAAAAACCGTTCACCCAAATCCTATATTGTTGAAATAAACATGCTTTTGAATTTAATTCAAACATAAATATTTTAGTTTTAAACATGCTTTCAATTTACTTTGAATAATTTATATATTTAGGGTATAAATATTTATATTTTTGTTTTAAATGAACAAAATTCGTATCCGTGTATAATGAAGCGTACCATACTTTCCCATGCAAATTACGTGATTTGGTTGATGGTTTTGACGGTATTTTCAGTGATTTACCATGATAATTCTCACAGGAAACACGCCAAATCCATTGCAGTTGCCATGCAAATGATTATTTAAAATTTTATATTTGCAAATCGGTTTTTAAATTTAGATTTAATTGATTTCAATGAAAACAACCTAACACAATAAACTGACACCAAAGCTGCATCACCGCCATATTGAATCGAACTAATTGTTCATACTTGCAAATTACTTACCATTTACGTGAAATTCATCTAATATCGTCGGACATGAAAATCACGTAACTTATATCTGAATTTCTAATGACATTTATGCGAAATCAAGTTGCAATGATGGAAGCTGAATGTTTCAGGGGCTACGTGATTTTTCACGTAACATAGACGGGCATAATTTTTAGAGTGTAGGGTCATGAGAAAGGTTCGGTCGTTTTCACTAACAGAGTGAGTCACTTTTACTCATTCGTATAGAGATTTTTTAAAGCTTATGTGGTCAGTTAGCAGTTACATATAACCTACGCTTTTAGAGATTTCTCGATACGAATGAGCAAAAGGGGCTCACTCTCTGTGTAAGATTCGTTTCCATTGTGGGTTTTACATCAACAGTGATGCCTCCCGAATGTAGGCACCACTCTACTACAAAGCTCAACGAATTCACCACTCTCTGTAATCTTGTACTATATTTCAAAGCTTTACCAAAATTTAGGGGAAACATGTCAGAAGGGTCTAACTCGAACTGTAAACAATGACTTGAATCGAAAATTTTCCGCTATGAAGTTTTTTTTTCCCTATGAAAACATTTTGCGTATACGTATACGTGACGTAGTGTGCGTACGATAAACGTCAGTAATCTCTATACCTACATGGCCAACCAGAACGACTCAGCGACTGAATTCAAATGACTCAGAGCATTTTCTTTCCATAAACAATTTACTCACATTTAGGAAAACCTGAAGGAACTCATAGCTAATGAGTAACTGCAGGTTTTTCCAAATATGAGTAAATTTCGTATGGAAAGAAAATGCTCTGAGTCAATTGAATTCAGTAGCTGAGTCGTTCTGGTTGGGCGTGTACATGTAGAAGGGTAGAGCCAAAGAAAGGAAGCTCATCTCTGCTTCGAAAAGTGAAAAAAAAAATCAATGTACTTTAGAAAGCCACCTAGCGGTGGAAAGTACGCTTTTTACACGGAAAATATAGTTAGCATTATACCAGTTTTAATGACAGGTATAAGTACAGCTTGACTGCTCTAAAGCGGTTTTATAACAAACGAAATATTTTTCTACCAATACAATTCATTCGTATAGTAACGTATACGGCAAAGTAGAAAACCGAAAATTCCAACACGGGCCAATTAACCACTTCATTCGAGCAGTTAAAATGACGTTTACTACCACTTGTACTTCGTAATAGAAGAATAAAAAAAAATCTTCTAGAATAACGAGAAAAGTAGCCGAAATTTGTGTGTTTCATAAAAAAATAGTAATTTGTTGGTCCTGTTTTGTGAAATTGCTGGTAGAAAGTCACACCAAAACTGCTTGACAAAGTGGTCAATTGATTTTACTCTCGATTTGTATGTAAAACATAACGTCGGACAAAATGCGCTGTATTCGCACAACGTTGTACTTGTACAATCTGTCGAATTGAAATATGCTTATGGCGGTAACCCTCAACGAGTATTGTCATTCCACTTGGAAGCTGTAAGATAAGACTCGCGAAAAAAAAATTATTTCTTTTGTTTTATACGTTAAACGCATCATTGGGTGATTACAAACAAGAAAAAAACAAGTCTGATTTTCCCGAAGGGCTATTCCCTGCTCTTGATTATTGAATCGAAAATACGAAAGTGAAAAAAAAACACAAAAATTCATCATTACTCATTACAAAATAAATAAAAAACAATAAAAATGTAAAATTCGAAAAAAATACATAAATATTTAACGAATAAAATAAATACACAAATATTCGCTACTGACAGAAAAATACTAAAAATGCGATAAAACTGCCAAACACAGACAAATGCGAGCTCAAATCACAAAAAAAAATGCATTAAAATATATTATTGACGTTCTTTTACTGCCTGGTAACTTTATAGTACCCATTCATGTGTAGGATTTCTCCCATTTTGTGAAAAACACAATTATGACGGTAAGCTCCAACTCGGATTAACTTTTAATACCGTCCCTGTTTGGATGATTTGCAATTTTTTTTCTTCTAAGAGTCGTGTTGATCAACTCTGATGTCAACATCAAAGCAGCCAGACATTCTTGATCGGGATTTAATCCGAGGATAATAACGGTTGGAGCTCACCACCATAAATGATTAATAAATTGCCTATTAATCAGTAACTGTAATCCACAAATGAGTAAAAATTGTTCATCGATGGATAACCGAGTGCATAACACATACTAATTAATCATGTTTTGTTGTTTTTGACATCATCCACATCCAGAGGGCCAGTCACATCGAATGTATGGGAATGGTAGGAAACCATTTGAAAATGCATGGAAATTTTCAGTTTTTATTCATTATCCACTTTATGGGCAGTTTTAGATGCACAAAAATTGCACGAGTACATTACTATGGTGATAAGGTAAACACTCGTTTATTTGTTTCCTTCTGTGAAAGCATGTTTAGTCACAAATCGTGGATTTTCTGATATTCTCCATACTGCAAAAATGATTTTCCTACCACTGAAGGGGCGACATCTCTCGGATCTTCAGTATAGCTACTACTCAAATCATATAATTAATTCATGAGCTCGTTCACGAGCTTATTAATGGAATATGTGTGATACAAGAATTTATCAAACTGCATGTAATTTTACTCATCACTGAGTATTTTATAGTTAGCGTGTGATTAATGCATTTGTCAAACAGAACGCGAGATAAAACGTCAAATAATATCAAAACAACAACATATTTGAGTTGTTGTCCTCGGTTCCAGTATATGTTTCGGATTAACTTTTAATATCGTCCCTGTTTGGAAGATCTGTCAAATTTTGGTTTAAGATAGAACTGATCAACACCGACGTCAACACCAAATCAACCTTACACTCTGGATCGGAATTTAATCCGAGGATAGTACGGATTGGAGCTTACCGCCATAACTGATTTCAATACATTCATTCGAGAAAAATACACTTTTGTTTTTTTAATGTAGACAAAATAACTTTTCCTATTAAAATACAATATAATACATTATTACACAAAATTAATCCAAAATACACAAGTGAATCGCCTTTCGGATTTACCAGCTTTCAAGTGGTCAACGTCAGTTTGATTTGGTATCGACATTGGGGTAAATCAATACAATCATAAGCAAACATTTAGCAGATTTTCCTAACAGGGCCGGTATTAAAAGTTAATACGAGTTGGAGTTTGCCGCCATTAATGTAGAATTGGGATCTTCTCTCGCTTCTGCTCATACCAAGTTTGAGATCATGGTTACCAATTTGGAATCTGTTAGCTAGCTTTGAAGAAAATATATTTGTTCTAAAAGTCTGACGGTATCTTTATTTCCAGTTTATGGAAAAATATTCATGGAAACATTTTTTACAATGCGATAAAATTTAATTATTACGTTTGAAAAAGAACATTATTTATGTTCAAATTTTAAGGAGGAGGGAGGGGGGTCTGGAAACTGTGACGATCCATACA